GGTCCTTTCCAACCTAAATAATTCTATGATTCTTTCTGTGCAGAGCCAACCAATTGGGAGCAAAGCAGATCCTCACAACGGCTCACAATGCTTGACTCGGTTCACATTAATGATTACCAGCACACTGAACTTACACAGATAGCAATCCAACAGGGCCCGAAACACATGCTCCACCAAGTCTGAAGTAATGGAAACAGGCTTTCTTTAGCTGATGCAAGGAATCTACAAAATGAATTAAAATGATTCAACAAATATATTCAATACATACCAAAAACTTTTTCAGCATACGTTACAGTGATATTAAATCCAGGACTTTGGTAGCTGTTGCTCTGTTACATTCAGCTGGATTTTGAGCTAGTTTTATTCACGTAAAGGATAGTCTTATAGAATATCTACATATTTTTGAATATTAACTGACACAAGAACAAGTGTTTTCTAGTTTTTTCTTTGTTTGTGGGGTTTTTCTTTGGTTTTGTGTTTTCAGTATTAACTCCAGACTTGTCTTCACATTGCTATAACTCAGTTTACATAACACTAGAACTAAACAACTAGGCAGAGAACACAAGCTAACTCATTAAAATCCTTTGAATTTTATATTTTTAATATATATCAATATACATATATACACATATATAAAAATATATACACATATATAAAAATATATACACGCAAACACATGGACATATGCTCACACACATCCCCCCCCAGGCATATTTATTTACCTAGTTGTAATTAGTCAGTTAGTCAGAAGTTATCTTTAAAACATATTTACCATCTGTGGCAGCAAAGAGTTCATAAAGTGCCTGGGCAAGAACATTCACTACAAAAGAATGAGATCTTTTTCTTGACCAGTAAAATGTTCTTTTTGCCTGATAAAGGGGAAAAAAAAAAAAAGTTTTTCTGTCAGTAAATACAGAAGAGCATTCAAAAGATTCCCAAAGAGGTAAGAGCCACGCTCATGAAAATGTACGAGTGGATTTAGTGATATGCTAGATCAGTTCCAAACTACGTCATTAAGGAACTTTGGAAACTTGTCGAAGCAGTTATCCAGGCTCCTCTTACACTAAATATGGGGGGGTGAGGTAGCTCCAGGCTGTGTGTCATTGCATCCTCTAGTTGGTGGCTGGGGTAGGCCAGAAACTTGAAGGATAACACTCATCTAGTTCCCTCTGTTGGCTGAGAATAAGTAGGAAATAACTGATGGTCTAAGGTGACTAGCTGAGGTGTAAGCATCTGCATTTGGTCAGGGAAGTCCTGGATTGTCCTGACATTCAGCGTCCCTCTAAGTGCTTCTCAATCTTCAAATACACTTTTTGAATCATTTACTTGTAGTCTATAATTATTCTAGCTGTAATTAGCCAAGACAATATGTCTAACCCGATTAAAAGCAGGAAACAAATAAATAAGAAATCTTATTATCTACTCATCTGAATTTTGGGTATAAATCTCACTTTAAAAATAAACCCAGCATCAACACTGATATGGTGCTTATTCCTGGGAAAGAAGGATGTCTTCTACCTTACTGCTGTGAAATCGATGCAGCAGTCAAGAGGCTAGTGGAGCATTGAAAGGCATCTTGAAAACACAGTACACATGCTCATTATTCTTCAAGTACCACCCACACAAGTGTAATGGTCCAAACCCACCCTGTTTAAGATCAATCTACGTTACAAACACACTGCTAACATGGGAATGTCAGGTTATACTAGCAAAAGCATGCTGACTACACACAGCACACATCGCTCTCCTTAAGCAAAACAAGACAGGTCAGCAAGCACAGTTTTGAATCTGCGTTTTGCCACACAACCATAGCACTCACAAATCACAGCTCCGCGTGCTGGTGAATGCGTTAACGTATGATTTATCTATCCAAAGCTTTGAGAACAGTTGTGCTTGCATGTCCCCAAGTTGCATAAAACTTAAGAGTGACATTAAGTTGCAGCAAAAGCTACCTAAAATAAGTCCAAAATAAAACTTCACCTTAAGAACGTCAGAATCTTCATAAAGATCTGGAATATCCTGGAGCAAATTTCTCCATATTTTAACATCATTTAAAATAACACTCATTCCTCCACCAGTTAGAGGGTGTCTTATATTATATGCATCTCCTAAAAGAAGAACACCTAGGTAGAAGAGAAAAATTAATGGGATACTGCATGACCATTATATAATCTTAGAACTCAAACCCTCCCTTTAAAAAAAAAAATTACTAAGAATTCATTCCCACTAGAAAATAAGATGAATAACAACTACAAATTAAAAAAGAAAAAAAAAATTATATCTTTAAATTAGCAGTCTTAAGAAGGTTTTAAGATGATCGAGGTCAAAATATTTTTTCCCTATAGGTATGCATGTGGCTGGGTCAAAGAACACACACACACGTGTCAAGGTAATTTCTTTCCTTTTTTAATCAAGTTTTCCTTATAAAGACCACACTTGTATAAGCTTGAGCAACTAAGTGATTTAAACTTAAAAATAAAGTGGGCACTGATTTGAAATTTGGTGTCAATATAAACATTCCAGTTGAACTATGCCCAAGGTACACTTTTTCAAAATATTATTTTTCATAGAATTATGAGACAGTTATATTGAACAAGCAGCACACATCTATGACAACAAAGCCTTAAGTCCCAGAAGTTTGTAATTTTTTTTCCCCCTCCTTTTATTTCATGATACACACCTTTTTTGTTAACAGCTGAAGGTGGCAAGAAGCTAGCTGGCATAGTCCTTAAACGATCATTCTGAACTGCTGTGAAGAATGGTTCCTTTAAGTGATCTGCAATAACCAAATATTTTAGTTACACTACTAGAGTCTAAAATAATTTGCATACAACCCATTTTACCTCTTAGATATGTAATCCTTCTGAATTGCTAACCTTACAGCCATGAGCTGAAAAAACTTCTATTTGATGTGGAATCAAAGAAGGGTGAATAGCTACTGAAACAGTAATTGCGCACATGGAAAAAGCCCACATAGTTCAATGGATTCAATGAAATGTGCCTTTTTTGGCACATTTCATTGTGACAATTATGGATGGAAATCTTTCTAGACTTACCAGGTAGTTGTGGATGAATGTTCTCAATCATGTAGTCTTTTAAATTTTTTGGCATCTCCCCTCGAATATCAACAAGGACTCGAGTCTCAGTTGGAGAAATCCGATAGATTAGCACTGGACTAGTTTTAGCTAAAACAAGTTCAGCATAATTAGCTTTAAACTGTGGTGCATCCTTAAAAAGAAAAGAAGAGGGAGAAAGATTGAGACTGAGTAATGAAAGGGTATTAAACTTCAGATATACAAAATAATTTTCTGAAATACTTTAAAATAAAATCCCCTATCATATTGTTTGTGTTATTTTTATCTTTCAATGAACAACAGAAATGTTTTCAAAAAGACAGTTCTGTACATCAGTGTAGTTACAATTCTTTTGACAACACATTTTAATATTCCTTAGAAATTATGTTATGTGTTTCATTTGAACACCTCACTAATATTTAATACATGCCATTGAAAACCTGCAATGCAATCAATGTAGTAGCTTTCTGTAAGAATATTTTGTTTTCTTTTCATCTTTATGATGAAAAGTGGTGGGAGGGAAAGAAATACACTAATCTCTACATGACTACATGGAGATACCAACTGAGGAAGAATTATAGGGTCCTATCTAACTAGGTCTTAAGCTTAAGTTTCCCAAAGTAGAGAAACAGGAGGCACTTGGGCAGTGGTAGCTGGGTTAGGGACCCAAAAAGTGCTGGAGTTCCTCCAAGTCAGTGTTCCCAGTCCAGTGAAAGTTCTGTAGTTTTGGTTCCTTCTCCCTTAATTATTTCTGCTGTTAATGCAATGGTTAATGCAGCAGCCATGGAGGGCAAGACCCAGACAGGATTCCTACCTGCGTTCTCCAGCCACCCAGCTACCAACCTAGATTCACACTTTCTCTCTTAAAAGTTATAAGTCTGTCCTGGTTTTGCTAGGAGAGAATCATGAGATCAGTTTTCTGTTCAGGAAAGCTGCATTTTTAAGAAGACCGCAGCACCCGTTACTGTGAGAACATAGCTGTTAAGACACTTTGTTTTAGTTCATGGCCAGCCATGGTATGTGGGTTTCCATAGTGATCAAGGCCTCTAGCAGTCTTGAGAAAGCCAGGCGCTAAAACTAGGAGGAATGGAGACCAAGGCAGCTGACCCAGGCTGGCGAACAGAAGTATTCCATACCATAAATGTCACGCTCACCATAAACTGGGGAGTCTGCTGGAATGGCGCTCTCCCTCAATGGCTGCCATCCCTGGAGGGTCTTGCCCGTCACTCTGCTCCCGAGGCCTGCTCTCCCTGTGCTAGAGCTGTGCTGCTCGCAGCGTTCGCCAACCAGCGTTTGCTGCCGGGAGCGCGCAGCTCGCAACCACTACCTGGGCTGAGTATAATCCTGTGTACTTTACATTGCTTCGGTATTAGTTTTATTAAATCTGTTTCTATTTCAACAGGCAGCAGCACAGTTTGGGTATTCTTCTAGAGTATGAAACATAGGTGGTTGGACCAACAGCTGCTAGGATGATCTGAAACTAAAGATTTCTGCTCACTGAACAAGTGCCCTAAGTATTGTGGAAACATGAGTGTCACCATCTAAGCTATCGATACCTTAACGCAAACCAGTCAAAGCACCTATATCCAGGGAAACAATTTTACAAATTGGGTTCAAACTTTACAGTGGTGCCTACCTCTACTCCAGAAATTAGTGCCATATAAGATATAGCACCACCTTATATGAGATAGTGAAACTTTTTTTTCCTTTAAAAAAAGAAAAAAAGTAGTATTTTCTATGAACTGCTCTAGTGAGTCCAGTGCTCAGTTTAAACTAGCTATTGAATCCTAATCCATTTTTTTTAAACCCTCCCTTGTTCAACTACATGCTTAATATTAACACTGTACTCCACTCTTAGAACCATAAAATAATATCCACTAAAAACAAAAACCAAAATCAAAATTGGCTTACAATTACTTAAAAGTGTTTCAAGAGTTGAAAATCTGATCTGTAACTGTATCAAATATGTCAAGTCTGACACAGCAAGCTCAGCTATCATACAGCTGAGATGGAGTATGCAATCAATAATTTAAGAGTTAAAAACACAGACCAAAATTTCTAAGCACTCCTCAAGGGACACAGAAACTGATAGAACAGCTGTATAAATATTGAAAAGCGTAGTTCTAACACATTCTGTTGGAAAGGATAATTAACAACAATATATTCAGTGAAATTCAGACCCACATTAAGAAGCGGTAACATATTGGCTTACATAGTATCATACATAAAAGTTACCTTCAAAATGCAACCAACAAAATGGGACGAGACAGTAACTTTGTTGGAGACCAAGTGTTTTCTAAACTTGGAGAAAAGTCCATCAGCTACAACAGTAAGTGGTGCATGAAGTTCCTGTAAAATAAAGAAAAAATAAAATGTGACATTTTCAGTTTTGTTTCAGAACAGTGGGAAACAATTCCCAAGCTCTCATTTTCAATTGTACATTAGAAGTTCTACAAAACAACAAACATATAAGAGGATCACAGACTTTATTTATAATATATGTGTTAAGAAATAGAGTATTTTTTGCCTTCCTCATATTCATATTTAATTCTATTTCCTCTAAAACATACTCCAGCTTTTTTAGACATGCAATCAGATAAGATAGTTATGGGGACTGTGTAGGAACTGGGATAAAAAAAGGCAAGAAACTAGAGTGGCTGCTCCCTTCAGCCTATAATGTTCTTCAGAAGGAAAAAGAAAATGAAGAAGAAATTTTAAATTAAAAAACCACGCATAAGCAACTAAGCAAAAATAAACTGAAGCGTAATAAACTGAAATGCAGGAAGCATGGCAAAGTCTTTAAAAGACCAAGCAGTGTCCTCCGAGCAGTTCCTAGTATACTTTGGAATTATAAGAATAAATAGCATATATAGCCAAAATATAAAATAAAATCCGAGTAAACTGATCAGGTTCAGCCTGAATGTATGTACAAATTCCTTAAGTTTAACACATACATTGTTCTCTAATATAAGCAAAGTATTTCAATTATTAAAATCTATTTTCAACCAATTTACTGTTAAGGTACTTTAACAACATTATTATACTAGAGAGAATTTAGATGTTGCTGTTGATGGAGTGACCACATCAGTGGACAAGGGAAGAGCTACCAATGTCATCTACCTGGACTTCTGTAAGGCCTTTGATACGGTACCCCACAACATTCTTCTCTCTACATTGGAGAGAGATGGATTTAATGGGTGGACTGTTGGGTGGATGGGGAATTGGTTGCATGGTCGCACCCAAAGGGTAGTGGTCAATGGCTCAATGTTGATGGAGTGACCACATCAGTGGACAAGGGAAGAGCTACCAATGTCATCTACCTGGACTTCTGTAAGGCCTTTGATACGGTACCCCACAACATTCTTCTCTCTACATTGGAGAGAGATGGATTTAATGGGTGGACTGTTGGGTGGATGGGGAATTGGTTGCATGGTCGCACCCAAAGGGTAGTGGTCAATGGCTCAATGTCCAGATG